GTAAGATCTCAAGGTTTATGTTTAAAGCATTTCCTACACATGTGCTTGTTCTCGCACTAACTACAGCATATATATGTTCGTAAAATGAATGCTTGAAATGTTAACATGTACCTGAGCATCTGACGCATCGTGTGTTCTGTGTTCCATCCACAAAGATGCCTTATCGGGGGGACCAGAACCACGTGTTTTAGGAGCAGAAGTTGATGCATGGAGATCATTTAATGATGGCCCAAAGCCACACATGCAATAAAAAGTAGCAGTAGGAGTGAAAACTCCGTACTCAGCCACAAAAACCTGTGCCTGTCGATGCTATACAACACTAAACAAATGACCTAATGAAAAAGCACTGAACTGAGTCTGTACAGATCAGTGGTGAGGAGCCTATGACACATGTTATTTGGTTTTCTTTTTAGACAAAAGGTGTTAATGTAGAGTTGTTTTTTCAAGACTAAGACCTCAGTATTCAGGCTTAAATGCAGTGTTGCAGTTTTGGTTTGGAGTTTGAGCACTGGTCTCTAAAAGTTTTGCCATCACTGATACATATCCTAAAGAAACTGACACTTTTTATCGCCACACAGTAATCTAACAAAACCTCACAACTTTTTGAAATTTAACCAAGTCCGAAATGCTGTAGCCCATCCTCAATTTTTCTACAATCATGCAGGAAAACCTTCTGTCATGATTTCAGACCTTTTCAAAGCTTAATGTATGTCCTCTTACACATCACACCCCACCCCATTCTTTACAGAGCAAATCTGAAAGTTTCTTACTCGTTGTTTGGGACCAGTCAGGGAAAGATTCAAGGCACCACTGCCCGCTGCCCGAACTCTGTATCCCCCAGCAGTTAACAAAAGCATATGGTAAGTGTAAGGGAAACTTACTGTGTATTTCTTTTTTTTTTTTTTTTTTTTTTTTTTTTTTTAGGATCGAAATCAGGACCTCGCGCTTGTGAGACAGGCGGTGGCGCCACTGTGCTAAATCCCCAGCTCAGTTATATTTTATTTCAACTCCTGCTCTACTACATACATACAAAGATGGCAAGTTCAGGCTTCAAGAAATTCTGTGACCAACAAAAATTTTTTTTCAAAAGTTATTAAAACAAAAGGAACTCTTAATATTTGTATAGTACCTAACAGTTTACCAAGCACTTTTACACACAATATAACCTCAGACCCTCCTAGAAATCCCTACAGTTTAAAGAATAAATCATGCTTCCACTTGGCAGTTAAAGAAACTCATGCTGAAAAGAGTATAGTGATTTGCCCTAAGTCATTCAGCTAGAAAGTGACAGATTGGAATTCTAAAACAAGTCTTCCAGCTCCAAAGTCAATACTCATTCCAAGAAAATAAATACTTTACTACTGGCTGCCAAAGTAGTTTTCTATCTGCTTACTCTAAGGATTTTTCCCCTAAAACCTTCCTGCCAGAAATGTTTAAATAAATCATCAACCCCTCTAACATTCTTCAGTACAAGCCTGTGTTCATGAACACTCGTCTGGCAAATCTGCCTCAAGTAGTGGCTGCAAATGTGTGTCTTGGGGCCTCTACCTGGAGCTGTACATCCTCAAAGTCTCAGGAAACTTGGTGTTCCTAATAGTTACATCTTAGACAAGAAGCTTTTATAAAATGTTCTATTGTCTCCTCGCCTCGCCTTATACAGACACACTGAAAGCAACTGAGCACTCTCCTGAGTCTATTTGAAAATTATTTACAGGTGACCGATCCTACACCAGACCTTGTGTGCCATGTGCTGATGATTCCAAGAGGAAAACTGTGGACCCCAACTTCAAGGCCCCACACGGAGATGGTGAGCGAAAGTGAGAGGGGGTGGCGGTCATAACCACTTGTAAGATACAAAAGCAGACATCCAAGGTAGGTGCCGAATATAGTCCAGAGATGCCTCAGGCCAGATCTAAGGGTACACAGGCAGTCTAGAGCAGCATGGGCCCGGAGGTAAGGAAGGAGTCACCAGCAGTCTTTGCTGGTCTTTATACCCGACCTTGGCACCTGAGTGTAGGCTGGAAGAACAGAAGGCATAGACATGAGAGGCCAGCATCCAAGGCTAGGGAGAAGGAAGGGCACACGCAGATGGGGACAGACATGTCAAGCACAAGGGAAGCCAACCACTACAGAAAAGTAACAGCAACTTCCTAGAGTAAAGCGCAAATGCACCCCAACACAAGCAGGGACAATCAGAGAAAGAAACCTACACACATACTGGCTCGCACTCATACAGAACCTTACATCACTGGTCACCCTCTCCACGAGGATGGAGCACGGAGACCATCTGGCTTCACCTGGCACCCTTGTGACTGAGGAAACTGGGGTCCACAGAAGCACTGTGTCCAAGCTGGAGCAAAGACCTGAGCCCTGCTCACAGGCCGGCCAGGCTGGACTCTGATGGGCTCTGACCCACACACTGCCTGTCTTCCAAAATTCATCCACACAAGTATGTATTTCTTCTACCATGTTTCAAAGCTCAGTTTAAATATATCATAATGACTCCTAAAATTAGTTTTAATGATAATAAAGCTTACCTCAAAACTTTTTACACTCCAGTAATATAATATTTCATAAATCTACGGGGAAATATCCTAACAGCCATTTATATCACTCTTTCTCTACAGTAGTTATCCTAGAAAATGGAATGTAGATTAATTGCCATAACTCACTGCTGTGTTTTATTGTTTTATCATTATAAAGAGTGGTCAAGGTTAAAGATAATAGTGATAATATAAATCTACCCTCATGCATATAATGGAGTCTATATGCTTAATAGCTAATAATTAACTACTGAAAATATATAAGCTGAGAGAAAAAGTACTTTGAAAATACACATAATTAATCTCACTCATAAACAGTGCTACTCTTTCTCAAAGGCAGAAGACTCTACGATCAATCTCATTCTAACCAGAATAATCTTTCCTAGATGAACTTCAAGAGACATCATCAATCTATTCTCAAGAAAAGCAATCATCTTTATAAGAAAGCAGACTCCATCCAAACTCCAAATACCATGCTTAAACCTCAAACTAAAACCATTAATTTCTAACAAATCTCTAGAAAAGTTTTGCTGCTAGCTTTTCAGATTCCTTCAGCAAAATTCGGGACACGGGTAGATTTCGTAACACCCTGAGTCCATTCATTTCACTGAATTGAATCCTCATTCGAGTAAGGTGCAGAAAGAGCACTGGGATAACCATGCAGCAGAGAGACTGCCCTGGGCCCCACCCACTTTCTAAGCGTTTCTCCTAGTCTCCCAGGCCAAGAGTTCTAAGCACACATTTCAACAAACTGCACAATGGTACGGGAGAAACACGGAAACCACCAACAGGACCTTAAGCTGGTGTTCACACCAGCCCTGAGCAATGAACAGTCCCACCCCAATTCCTGTCAGGAAACCCGGAGCCCTACACCACCCATTAGAACACTGAAGTCTGATTGGTTCCATTAAAGAAGAACAAACCAAGACTTTTTTAAATGAAATATAAATATGCAAGTAAAGTTGTTTTTTTTTGTTCTGTTCTGTTTTGTTTGTGTGTGTGTGCCAGGGATCAAACTCAGGACCTTGCATTTGCAAAGCAGGTATGGTGCTAACAGCTAAATCCTCGCCCCAAGCAAAGTATTTTTTGTTTCTTGGTTGGTTGGTTGGTTGGTTTGAGACAGGGTCTCACTGTGTAGTTGAGACTGACCTGGAACTCACTAGGTAGCCCAGGCTGGTCTTGAACTCACAGGGATCCTCCTATATCAGCCTCTGGAGTACTGGGATTACAGGTGTGCACCACCACACCCAGCCTACAAGCAAAGTACTTTTAAAATACAGCTAACAACCTCCACAAACTTCATTCAGATCACAGACTGCCCAGAAAGTCAGGAACTGTCTAGACCCCCAACAGTGTACCCTTCCAATTCATTGTTCATCTGTTTCATCAATAGGAACTTTGCTATATTTAAAGTTTTTTCTTAGAGAAAGCTTACAGCTTCACACTTCCCCAAATTCTAAGGGGAAAGTAATGGCAAGATGAGAACTAATACCGAGCATTGTGTTCCATCATGTGATCAGCAGAGGCCCTTCAAAGAGCCTCCTGTCTTCTCGGTTAGGCAACAGTTAACAGGCTGGAGATCTGAAGAGCATTCTACTGTACTGCATTCAAGCCATCAGAAACCTTGTATTTCCGAGGCTGTTAAGTAGATGCCTTACTTGAGCTGGTATTTACAGCTGATATTTAAACTCTCTTAAGACTAAAACAATGAAGCCAGGCATGGTGGCACATGCCTATAATCCCAGCAACTGAGAAACTGAGGCAGGAAGGATCACTACAAGTTCAAGATGAGCCTGGGCAAAATGGTGAGGCTCTATTTAAAAAGAAAAAACTGACTAGCCACAACACACATCAGCATAAGTGGTACCTAATGATTACAAATGGTAACAAATGCAGTGCATAAACGCAACTCACGGAAAGATACCACCTCTTAAATCATTGCTCAGAAAGGTGAGGGGAGAGGCTCACAAAAACAGGAAATAGCAAGTTAAAAACACCAACAGCATTACAGTGATAACAATCAGCTCAACCTCAGTCATCCAGCATGCACACCGGGTCCTAATCCACCCTGCTCTCCCTCAAGACCCCATGCACCCATTAGACAGAACTTGTCATTTATTGAAAGGACGCTGGACCAAAAGATCAGTAAGACAGAATCCATATGGAAGTCAACTTTCACTGCTACACTACCTCACACACACCCCCAACAAATGCTCAAAGAAGTAAAGACATCAACAGAGTAAGACTAAAAGTATCCATCAAGCCATGGCCCTCAAAATGCTTTGCAGGCAACTTTATATATACACAGGTCGACGCTGGGCTTACAGTCTCTCCGTTAAATGCTGGTAAGTAAGTACCACAACCACAAATTTACTCACAACTCAAACAAATCTGAATATGCCAAATCAAAGAAAGAATGCTCTTCACTGTCTGACCGTGTTTATACTTCAAAACCCAGAAGCAAATTACTATTTAAAAAGTGACTTGCCAAGACTTGGGCTCTCCAAAATGGAGATAATTAATGCTGTAGAGGTCCATGTCCTCGGTGTGCCATGCAAATGTGGTCTTCCACATGCCGAAGTAGAGGTAGGGGGTGTTCACATCCTCAATGGAAATACCGCACTCTTCTTCCACCACATCCAAGACTGTATTGAGGCGAGCGATATTCCACTCATCCACACCCTGGAAACAGGAAAGGGACGAGAGAGAGAAATCAGATGATGCTAAATACAGAGAGCACGCACTGATCACCATCAGCTAATTATCACAGTGCATCTCTTAATCCAGTGAAAAACTGAAAAATAAAGCAATCATTTCATTCAAGAGCCTTGTACACATCCATTATTATTAATACAAAGATTACTACCAGCACTTGGGAGGGTGAGGCAGGAGGATCTCTGAGAGTTCAAGGCCACCCTAGGTTATATATACTGAGTTCAAGCCCAGCTAAAACTATATATCCAGTCCCTGTGTCAAAAAATACAAGTCTAAATTTCCAAGACTAAACAAATTCCTATGCAGAGACACTGCAATGCCCTAAAATCCTTAAATTCTGTAATATGTTCTAAAAAAGCCCTCTCCGATAACTATGCCAGCATCCTCCATATCAGCATCTCTGTCATTCCTCTTATACGCTAAAGGATTTTCAGATTGTTCTGTTTTCACTTTGGTCTTTAAATGATTCTCTAATGTACTATTCTTACTTCTTCAAAGTTTGAGTTAGGAAAAATTATTAATAGAGCAGTAAATGAAGCAGATGATATAATTTAATAAACTCTCCCTAAGGAGCCACTCTACCTACAATTTTAGCTGACTGGGAAGTTTGGTGGGTGAAAATTGGTCAGAGTAAGCAGGATGAGTATCCTTTAAGAGAAGAAACAAGGTTCCAACTTAGGAGACTCACAAAAGTTCAACTGAATTTTGTAAAATGTTTTATCTCACTCTACTTATAGTGATGACATCTCTCAACTCTGTCCAATCAGACTTCAGTCCAACCACTCTAATAGAATCCTATGTAAAACTCATTACAAAAGCAATGAATCTGAAGAAATAAATCAGTACCATAATATAGAGACCATTTTTAAACTGAGCAAGCTTGCAAATTTACAAACTATTTCACTGAAATTCCCTCAACTCTGTCCAATCAGACTTCAGTCCAACCACTCTAATAGAATCCTATGTAAAACTCATTACAAAAGCAATGAATCTGAAGAAATAAATCAGTACCATAATATAGAGACCATTTTTAAACTGAGCAAGCTTGCAAATTTACAAACTATTTCACTGAAATTCCTATATATGAAAACATCTAAATTTTATTTCTGACTGGTACTACCTTTCAAAACTAATCCAGGCAAAATCTCTAGATGTCTTGTGCCTCTGGGTCCAAGGGGAAGAAAGTAGAAAACAAAACCTAGGGCATGTGCTGTCTGTCAAGTCTTATTTTATAAATCCTCTTAGGGCCTAGCATCCTCCTCCCCAAGGTTCTCAGAGTACTAAATAAGCTAACTTAGAAAATTAAACCTACCAATCCTTAAAACTGAGGTAATACATATTCCATTATTCTCTAGAAAATCTAACAAAAGCTTCCCCAAAACAACCATCAAACATTTGAGAAGTGGTACTGAAACTCTTAGAAATTTAAGGCTGGTCAGGCATGGTAGCGCATGCCTGTAATCCCAGCACTCAGGAGGTTGAGGCAGGAGGATTGCTCTGAGTTTGAGACCAGCCTGGGCTACACAGTGAGTTCCAGGTCAGTATCAACTACTCTCAACTACATAGTGAGAACCTGTCTCAAAAAACCAAAAAAAAGAAAAGAAAAGCAAGAAATTTAAGGCTGAAGTTCTCCCCACCAAAGGACAAATAACACTTCTACATCAGCTTCTTCTGACCAAGAGAAGGTTGCCGGAATGCTGAACATTAATGCTCAAATAAATCATACAGCTTTAATTAAGGAATTATGCAAATATTAAGAATAATCAGTACTAACACAGTGAAATAAATCTTACTGCTTCAAAGCTGGGCATGGTGGCATACCAACTGTAATCCCAGACACAGAGGCAGGAGGATTTCAGTGAGTTCGAGGTCGGCCTGGTCTCAAAAAACACTTCCTGCTTCAAACTCACTTTGGTTCTCTAATATTAACCGGCTTTCGTTCTGTAATATTAACCCCATCTGGCTAAGTGCTCCGAACACCAGCTCCAGGGAGGCTCTCTGGAAGAACGCCAGGTCTCCTGGCACACTCACAAGAGGAATACGCCCAGCTCATGGTGTGTGTCATGTTACACTATATACGTCTTTATATCCTACAATGTGTGCACACGTCATGTACTGAAAACAATCCTATAAAACCCTACAAATATAAATTAGTTGGGCATATTATTCACAAATGAAGAAATCAGCACTCCAGACAGGTGGTAGATAATGATTAACCTGTAACCATCCTAACTCTTAGATCTTCATTTCTAAACTCTACACTTGTAGTCCTGATCCTTTCATTTTAAAACATCACTTATCCTCCTCCTCTCAGCATCACTTGTCAACAGAAAAACGAGAGGTGGCAAACCCACAAAGTTGTGACGCCCTCGCACCAGGGGTACAGCCGTCCCACCCTGCGAAGTGTTTCACTTGAGCACTGGCACGTGACAGGACTGATTTAGGGTATAAGCAGTCTCCAGAAAGTGCCCAGCTACACACAGGCCCCACGGTGCACGGCGATAACTTGCTGAACCACTCAGAGCTAAAGTCATCAAGTCCGCAGAGCACCTGCACCAGCCCAAGCCCACACACACATGCCTCTTCCCCATCCCGCCGTCTCTAAGAAGATCCACCATGCAATGGTCAGCAGTGCACAGACTGACAGCTCCCCTCATCCCAAGTGGACTGATATTTTCTCCCTGGCCCCCAGGCCCCTCACTCTTATCACCCAGGCCTGTCCTGCCCCATTGTCTGTGTACCCTGCATCTGTTTTCTGAAGTCACCGCTGTACTGTGATTTGTGCACATGTATGTAATTAAGACATGCATTAGGGATCTTTCCTTTGAATCACTGTACCATCCTCCTAGCAGGAACCACATGTCAGTCCAAAGAAACTCCTAAATCTTCAGTACCACAATCAGATCTGCAAGGCCCAGGCCATGCTGGTAGTCACCAGAAAACCAAAGGAAACTCCTGAAGCAGCATGGCCATGTTAGAAAACTCGCCACACAACAAGCCTTTTTTACCTCACACACAAGAACGGTGCCAACATGACATGAGCCCAATTTTTCTCAACTATTTCCAATGCGACATTGGTCCTACCAGATGTTATAGTCAGAAATCTTCTTTTCTCCTCCTCTTCATCACAGTGCTAATAGTTATCCAGCAGGTTCTAAGGTGTCCTACAGTGAAGTCCCAGAGGATCACGAAGCCTACTCAAGTCTGCTTAACTCCACACTTCCCCAAATTATTTTTACAATGGACTCATTTACATAATACATTTACATCCTGTCACAGTATTGTGCAGGAGAACTTGTTAGAGGAAATGTTACGGTAAATAGTTCCCTAAATGCGCTAGCCTAAATATAACTCAGTAGTAAGATAAAAATAAATCTGGACCTTAGCTGAGGTGACACCAGAACCCAAGGAGTATGAAGAAGTGGCCACAGTACATTCACTTCTACCGTCATAATACAGGTATGCAATTTGTCACCTAAAAATACAGAGATAGTATAAATTAAAGGTAATTAAAACATAAAAGGACATTTCTAAATGATGACAGACTAAGTTTAAAATTAGGACAAAAAGAGAGAAGACATGATCAAACTTCATAAAGCTATCAGCTATAGTAACAAACAGCATGAACTTTAAAAACACACACACAAATGATGGCACAGCCATCAGACTACAGAAAAGCTTAAGACAAAAGCTGGAAGATTAGTGAACTCGTAAAAATCATGCTTGGCAGACATACTCTTTCTGTCCTCGCTCAAAAACTAGTAAAATGGGATGAAGAATCTGAATCTCAGAGATCGGCCTGGTATGAGAATTCAAAATTCTCCCATCAGACACCCATTCTACTCAGCAGCTACAGAATCTGATTTCTCCCGGGCTCTTCGTGGCAATGGGGCCACTAGGCTCAGGGCCAACTGGGACATGGCAATCTGTGCACCTTGTCAGGACTGCAATAAAGACCCCACCTCGCCAGAACTACCTTCAAAACATCCCTGCCCGGCAGACCTGGCATCCTCGAGGCTGTACCTAATCCACACTTGCCTTCCACACAGAACAGTGGTGAACACAGGATTTCCAAGGTCATGTAAAAAACATTTTTGAAAAATTGTCTTCTAACCAAAATTTTATTTTAAAAAGATTGGCAAGGCATCAAAAAGGTATTTATGTACATGTACCAACTCCCCACAATGAATGCAATCATTATGTACTATAAACATGTACTAATAAAAATAAAAAATTGAAAAAACTAAAAAGCTTGGCAGAGTTACCAGCTTCTCCTGAGTGGTGTTTCCTGGTGTCCCCAGCCCACCGCCCTCAAAGACGGCTGCCAACATCATGTTCCAAAGGGCACATCAGAGGTGGGTAGCTGGGCGACAGGACAGGAGCTGCAAACTCCCGTGGCAATCACGGCAGTAACGGCGGTGAGGGAAGCAGATGGTGCATGGTCAAAAAGTCTATCTGAAAACGGTCGACCTACTATCCTGTTCCTGCCTATTGCTGTTACTGGGAATACTTACAGATCTTCCAATATTTTAGTGAAGACCAAAATTCAAAGATCAGGTGACACTTGCTAATCCTTAAAACTGTGTGAATCAAATGAAATATAGCTGTGTCCACATTTGCCAAAAGGTAGCAGGCATTAAAGCGTTCACATTTATTACAATTTAGAACAGATAGGGCTGGGTGTGGTGGCGCATGCCTGTAATCCCAGCACTTGGGAGTTTGAGGCAGGAGGGTCACTGTGAGTTCGAGACCAGGCTGGACTACACAGTAAATTCCAGGTCAGTCTCAACTACATAGTGAGACCCTGTCTCAAAAAAAAAAAAAAAAAACTAAAACAGATAAAGGAAGAGTTTTGGAGGCAGGCTGTAATACAAAGTGGGTAATTGTAAGCCTGGGGATAAGAAACTGCTTTACAACTAACCACGTATTTGCCCAGCACTACGTAGCTGTGTCAGGCACCCCATGGA